CTCTCTCTCTCTCTCTCTCTCTCTCTCTCTCTCTCTCTTCGAGGCAGACAAAATCTAATATTCGGAATGCGAAGTGAGCATATCTGTAAATGAATGTGAAACACATCCGTGACAAAGTGGTGGGTCGTTCTGCGTACCGCCTTGCACGTAGGAAGTCCAATTTCGTTCTTCAACCTCAGCGGTCCTCATCGTCCGCTTCTGGCAGATATAAGGCGCTGCCAAGAATTCGATGGGGATCATTTCTCGACATCATTTCTTGGCAGAGCATTTTTAGCATTGTAGTGAAAGAGAGTCGCCACGATTGAGTTTTGTTTTACATAATAATGTCAATTTCATATATATATATATATGTGTGTATATATCACACATATATACATATAATGTATAATAGATATATAGGGTGTATAAAAAGTTCCAGACCTTAAATATTTTGAAAGTAAACATTTTTGAGAAAAATGTTTCAGACAAAAGTTGTAGAGTTTAAAAAGATCTATGATCACATCATTTGACCAAGGTGGCATCGCCAAGGTCAAACGGATGTGATTAGTAGATATTTTTAAATCTTACAACTACTTTTACCTGAAACATTTTTCTCAAAAATGCTTTTCAAGATATTTAAAGAATCCGACTTTTTGTACATCTTGTATATATTAAAATTGATATATGTTATAAATTGATATAAATTATATATGTTATAAATTGATATAAATTATATCAGTTAGTTAGTTTAGTTTAGTATATCTATATTCATTAAATATTTATAAATACGTTCCTTTTATGTGTTACCGATACAAAAATTTATTTTATACAAAATCCCAATAAAACTTAAGAAAACCTACAAATTTCGATTTTTTTAAGTTTATAAAACCTAAAAAAACCCCCTGGATTTTTTTGGGGTGGGTAAAATAATGCCAACCCTGATTTAATTTTTTTTGTTTAATTTTTGTTTTATATGTCTACCATCTCACATCATTTTTAATATATATATTTTATATTATTATATATAAGGCAAGGAACAAAACTTCTTGGAAAAATATCATTCACAATATTTGTTTCCACAATCAAAATTAAGCGTAGCAATTTTACATATATAATATTGTTGTTTTATATTTATATTACAAAAACATACATAATTTGATAAGAAAGAGAGAATGGTTATCTCTCTTTAACCCTTGCTTTGCTTTTTCAATGGAATATTTGATTTTTTTCCAATACTTTTTTCATTGTTTATAACTTTTTTAGTTAATAAAGATACATACATATTTATTTAGTATATTTCTTAATGTCTGGCATTTTGATTGAAAAACAATTGTTTACAAAATGTTAATTTTTACAAAAAAAGTTATAAGCAATCGAATTGAATTCAATATGTCATATCCTCAAGCATTACATGAGATCCACTGAGAAAAATATATTTCCCAACAAGCTAATATTATTTGTCGTTCTGACATCAAAATGATGACAAATGACATCTTAGGAACTATATTGTTCTCATAATGTGATGCTTAAAGATTTCAGCAAGCTGATGTTATTCGTCATTATTTTGACATTAAAATGATAACAAAATAACGTCATCTTGCTACCTGGAAAGTGGAAATTATATTGTTCTCATAACGTGACACTTAAGGGTTAAGCATTAGAAAAACATTATACTCAGGTAGTATAAAACATTTTAGCAATAATGCAGCAACAAGTTGGAATTATTGTCATGCTATATGGGGTACTAATACATAGGAATAATTCTTGCAATAATTTGCTGAATTTTATTGATAGAAAAAGACTTTAACATTTTAAATCCCAAAACAAAATGCACTTCTATTTTTTCAATTAAATCATAATACATAAATGAACTGCGATAAGACTATGTAAAGCAGATATTGTGAAGATATTAAAATTATCAAAATTTATGGGATATTATTACAGAAGTATAGTGATGAAACACCTTCCTTCAATTACATAACTGAATTATATCGATGCAGAACAATCATTTCATTAGTTAAAAACGTTAAAACTTTACATTTTATACTGTGTTTATCATAAAAAATTTAATTAGTTAATTCTGGGATCAATTATAATTACAAAAACACAAAGTATGTAACAACCGAACAAATGCATACGTTTCAAGCAATTTTTGCTTTTCGACTAAAAAAAACATAAAGTGTTTAATAAAAAAAACATACAGCGTATTTACTTCTTAATATATGAAACATATCCTTATTGATTTATTGAATTCCTCACACTTGTGAGGAATTCTTAAAAATTTTAAAAATATATTTAAAAAGGTATTATTTTACAGAAATAATAATACGTTTGTATTTTTTTTAATAAAAAATGTGCAATATATGCATGGCTTAATAATTTTTATTAGTATTCTTCTTTCACTCCATTTTTTTTAGTTATAAGATCGATATTTAAAGACATTTAATCAATTTCGTGAATAATTTTATCAGTGAAACAACAATTTATTATGTTTCCTAAGAAACATTCGAGCATAAGAAATGTCACGCTTCATTGATGAGTGACGTTTCATTGGTATAGTATTGAATCACGCTTGTATGCTAATTGCATTTTTTAACCGGACCGACACAATACTCCCGGCAAGTGTTAAAAACCAGTATTCGTATTACAGCGTACAATATATAAATTAATATTACGCTGCTTCTCATTCAGTCTTCGACAGAAACATTCCACACGTGGATCCCGCGTTCAAGATCTAAGTAGAATGCCCATCAGTCCATGTGCGACTTGCGTAAATAAACAGCGGCTGCATCCGATGCGTGAGAATAATATGAGGAAACAAGTTGAGGCAGCAATGAGGAAGACAGGAAAAACAAAAAAATGTAAAAAATCGAATACGTGGTCAATGAGATGCCGAATAGAAAGCGTAGTATGACAAAAATTTGAAGCTTTCGAAATTACAATCAAAAGGAGTGAGAGGGAGGGGTGCCGATGGTGGTGGTAGTGGTGGTAGTGATGATGGTGGAAGGAGTCTATAAACAAAATGGTAGTTATCTATTGTTGCCAGGATTCCCTCGGGTGGATACTTTTTCGTAACGGACAATCCATCAGATACACTCGACATCCGTTCGTTTCGCCGCGCGAAATGACTGTTTTTTTTCAGCGATTATTCGATTAATCCGATACATGCGTGAGTGATTGTGACGGACGCGGGGGCATGTTTGCGTGAAGAATTCAGTGATAGCATCGGGACGGCGAGAGAAACGGGTGGACGGCGTCGTCGCGCCTGGATCGCAAAAACGAACGGTACTTACATCTGACAAGCCTGGGGATCACCTTTCCTGTATCAGTACCATCGTCCGCGAAATGTTAACGTGAATACCACAATTTTCGAAGACACACACACGCGCACCGTCGTTGTAGTCGATGCTTTGAGCAGCTTTGAGTCACGCGTCATCCGTACGTATACGGCAAGGTGGCGTTCCAGCTCAACTTCAGATTGGGTCGCGCGATCGGAGCGCCACCTGTCTGACGCGTGCGAGATTCGAATTTTCGGCGTTTGTCACGTACGCCAGCGGTGACTTCGGTGAGCTAGTGGCGTGCACCAGCGACGTAACTTACCTTGGATGCTATAAAGGCAAACTTGCGTAGCGACAAACTTGTGTAGCTTCATAAAGAAAATTATCCAATTGCATTTTAGATGTGTTGTTTTTATAATAGAATGTGATTGGATAATTTTATTTATGCATAGCCGCATAAACGTATGCATAAAAAAATTATCCAATCACATTTCTTTTACACACTGACTCACATAAAATCCGATTGAATAATTTATACATATATTTATGCAACTCTATGCAAGTTTTGAATAAATTCTAAAGCGTATATTGTGCGTGATTTTTATATTCTTGTTGTTCATCAAATGTTAAATAAGGATAAAAAATAGAAAAATCCAAGCTTAGAGAAATGAATAGATCGAATTTCGATCAACTTCTTCGATAGTTAATTTGTTAGTTTAATCTGGTAGAATGCATAGCAAAATTTCTATATCGTTTCAAAATTATTTCTAATATTCTTTTTCACTTATTACAATAATAACTTAATAATAATATATCTTAATAATATGTTAACAAAATAGTAATTCCAGACAGCATCATAAAGAATTAAAAAAATAATTCTTTCAAATCCTCGATTTATAAATATATTCCTTATATTTACGAAAAAGAAAACTCCACTGTCTCCATCTATCGGCATCTAGTCACGTACTACTCGATTCTTTTTCAATTCATTTCGAAAATTATGTTAATTTATTATAAAGAAATGTAAAAAATGAATCTTTTCTCGAATTTGTAATAATCATTTGTGCTATTTGAGATATTGTTTGAAAAATCAATTAATTTTGTTAAGAAAGAAATCATCTGCAGTTTTATTATAATATTATAATATTTGAGGTTTTAGGCTCAATTGCACTAATTATATAATACCTGATTGCTTCGGTCTTAATCCTAAAATCTTAAAATTCAGCCAATATATGGAATATAGATTTCAGTTAAGATCAATTAGGACTGGCAGCCCTATTGAATTTTAGAATATTAGGGTTAAGATTGAAGCATAGATCAAGCATTACTTTAAGAGGATCCTAAAGTCTGTATTATCGATTCAGTAGGATTTACATACGTAGGATTTACGGTGTCATTGACATATTACTATACAATACTACATCAATATCGCACGCACACATCCATATAAATTTTCTAACTACCTAATCTTTTATATTAGGTATTTAATATAATTCCAACAACACTGCATTATTGTTTGTTCATACAATTCTTAGTCCAGTCCAAGTTAAGATTGTTTTATCAAAATTTCCTAGACAAAATATTTATGATAAATATTTATTACTAATCATTTTTTGGAATGTTATATAAATGTTTTAATAAGCATATTTTATATAAAGCTTTATTCGAAATATCATTAAAATATATAAATTAAATATTTTATGTAATATTTAAATATAAATATAAATAAATATTTCTAATAAGTGTTTCTAATAAGTGTTTTTATAATGTCTCATTAAATATTTTCATAGCATTTACTATAATATTTATAATAGATATTTTATTATTAGGTATACAACTTTGCTTCCGCCGTTTTTTCCGAAATTCGAGGCTTTATTGTAAAAAACTGGTTATACATTTATGATTCAAAATATTGTCCATCCCAAAATATTGGCCACTACTTTCTCCCATCTTTCGGGTAGCGTACGAATCCCGCGTCAAAAAAACTGGTCATCTTTTGAGGCTATCCACGAATCGATCCAATTTTTTACTTCTTCATAAGACCGGAAGTGCTGGTCAGCCAGGCCGTGTGCCATTGATCGAAACAAGTGATAGTCAGAGGGA